TTAACATGTTTGTAGAACAGAAAAGTCTGTAGTTGTCATCAGATAGAACAGAACTTCATAACTTAAAATCATCAAAGGATTATTCTTTTAGTGGAAGTTTGAGTAAGTAAATGTGTTTGGAACCAAAGTAACTGGAAAGTTTATTTTGGATCCAAAGCTGGTGCTTACCTAGCTCGAGCCCTGGCTTGTTCATGATAGAGTATTGCATGAAGATTTTGTGCATTGGCGTTGTGGTAAGGTATTAGTATTTAAGTGAAAAGACTTTCATACTTAACTATAAAAAGTTGAGTTTATTATTTAGTTGTTGTAGGATTTTATATGCAGCCTTGAAGTCTTTTTGGCAGTTACATTGTGTAGGAGGATAATACTCACTTTTCACATGTTCTTCATACTAATAGTTGCTAAAATTGTGAAGCAGTATAAACACAATTATTTTTAATTGGTTGTTAATGCTGAATTCCAGTGAGAACAATGAAGGATCTGTATTAAAAGCAAATGAATTAATGAGTTATGTTGCAATGAATGCCAACTAAGTAAGAGTGCAATTATTACATATAAAACTTAGCCAGATATTCCACATGCCTTTCAATATCCCTGAAATTATTTGAAATAATGAGTCTGTTTCCTGAAATTATTGAAAATAACACTTTCTTTAAAGCATCTAACTTGTACAAAATTTTAGTCCACGTGAAACACTGATTGAAGGAACAGAAATGTAAGGATGAGACTGACTAGAGTTCCTGCTTGTTGAACAATGGTCTTTAGTCATGGGTCAGGAAGAGATTCTGTGGCTTGTAACTTAGCAGTTCTAGCTATTAGCAATTATTCAGCAGTTAAGAGAGAGGTTGATTTTTAAAGTTGATTGCTTACCACAAACTCACAAAAATTAAGTTTTTCATAACTCAATAAAAACCTTTAAAAATCAACCTTTCTTGGAGAAGAAGAGGAAAACTGTGTATTGCTAAGACTTTGTGTATTATGCAGTCGAAGAAAATGCCGCTGATAGTTATTATACTCATTTGTATGTACAGGTAGCCTGCTCTTTTAGTTGCCTTACTCATGTGCTCTGCTTTCCATTCCTTTCATTTTTACTTCTTGTCTAACTGTAAAACATGATTTTCTGGCCTTTTTGAATTCTAACAGTGTGTGTCTGGCTCAACTGGAGATGGTCTAATTGGGTAGAGCAAGTTTTTGTGCCAGAGGCTGAGGTGTGGTCATACAGTAATGACCGTGCCATAACCCACACATGAGATGTGGTTCTTTGCAGTTTTGGGACTCATTGCAAGGTTATATTCTGTATCTGAAACTCCTAGAAAAACGTCAGCCTTTCTAACAAGAGCATGTGATGGATGATGGTTAATGCAGAGAGAGGCAACTTCCCAGGAGACACCTTTATGTGAGTGTCACATTCTGGGTCATCTTCAGTGCCTCTAATTGCTTTATATAGCCATAAAACGTGGATCAGGGAAGGGAATCTCCTTATGGTATCACTATCATGAAAGGTTGTAGACACTTGTACAACTTGTCCCTCTTCATTACACTTGAACTGGATAACTATGGCATGTCACTTGTTTTGTTTCGCTCCCCCCCCCCCCCCCC